CTATCTATCTATCTATCTATCTATCTATCTATCTATCTATCTATCTATCTATCTATCTATCTATCTATCCCTATCTATCTATCATCTATCTATCATCTATCTATCTATCTATCTATCTATCTATCATCTATCTATCTATCTATCTATCTATCTATCTATCTATCTATCTATCTATCTATCTATCTATCTATCTCTGTTAGTAAGAATTGCCACTATAGCAGGGTATATACCCTCTCCCAAAATTTGAATTATACTCCTATTCCCTCCTTTCTCTCAAATCCTGCTAACAAACCCAGAGCTGTTACATATTTAATATATTTAAGTTTTTTAGCATTTTTGGTCATGTTTTGGAGGAACTTCCGCTAAAACGGGTGAGTTCCCGTCTCCCCTTAGTTGAGCAACTGATAAGATTTCTGTTCCTTTCTCTTTAGACTGTCCGGTTCCTGAAGAATTGCACCCTGGAGATCGGCGTGAACGAGTGTGAGCACTGGGAGCTGACGAAAGAAATTGTCTGCCGCCATTTCCTCCGAAATGTGAGCTTTTGCCGTTTTTATGTTTGCGGGGTCCTCGGTGCTCTGGTTTTCTTGCAGACGTTTCGTGACCCAACTAGCTGACATCATCAGTGCCAGAAGGGAGAAGAGGGGTTTGCAAAGAGAACTGTGGCGCTCTCTAAGCTTGGTGGTTTTGTTGCAGACGTCTCATTACCCAACTAGCTAACATCATCAGGGAGTGGGTTTGCTCTTGTTTTTATATACTAGTGGCTTGTTCTGACAGCGTTGGTGGGGATATTCCTTGTGATTCTTTAGCCTGTTGTTTGTCTGAGTTGGTAGATCCTGGATGGGGTGTTGTTTACTTGATTGTTGGTCTAGTGTTTATTGTGGTGTTAATCTCTGCTCTTTGGGGTGTTGATGGCTGGTGAGGAGGGGTTTATATGTTTGTATTTACTGCATAGTGGAGACAGTTTTAATACAGGTAGTCCTCAGCATAATTCATTTATTGACTATTCAGAGTTACAACGGCACTGGAAAAAAAAAGTGACTTTATTATGACCGTTCTTCACACTTAACAACTGTTGCAGCCTCCCCACAGCCATGGGATCAAAACTGAGCTTGAAACACAACTTGAGCCTTTAAAACACATTCGCAACCTTATTTTTAAGCAGCTGTATGTGCCCCCTCTCCTGTTTTGTTTTGTTTTTCCAGCTGGGAGTTGTAGTGCCCCCCCAGGCGCTGACTCTCCCGGAAGAGCCCATCACCCGATTGGGAAGCTACTGGTGCGAAGTTACGGTAAGCACCCTCCGGGGCTTTTCTGCAAAGCATGTGGGGTCTCAGCTGCCTCTTCCAGTTGGCTCGTTGGGGTCTTTACGGGACTGCCTGCCACTTGACTTTCCCTTCCTCCTCCTCCTCCTCTTCCTCCTGCGTTGCAGGTGAACGGACTTGACACCGTCCGCGTCCCTCTTTCGGTACAGCAGTTTGCCGAACCGAAATCGAACAGCCAACGCCTCTGGCTCGCCCAGAAGGAACCAGACGCCGAAAGGGAAGTGGGAAGACCTGGAAGCTTCCCGGGAAGAGAGGCCAGGAAGTGACTTTTTTCCTCTGCGGCTCTAGAATCAGAGCTTAGCATTTTTCTAGCCAAAAACTCCTCTTGGGGGGGCTGCTTCAGCCGGCCACGGTGGGTGAAGCTAGCCTCGTTCCGGGTCTCGTGAAGCCTCGGGCGGTGGGTCTTCCCAGAAGTGGGAAGAGGCCGCAGGAACCGGTGAATAAAACGTCCCCTCTCTATTAATACTTGCTTTTTCCGTGGCAGTGCCTTGTTTGCAAGGCCCCCCCCTTGCGAAGAACAGCTGCCTTTCAGAGGCTTCTGGACTTTTAATGTCGGGAAAATCCACAGTCCAGCCTGTTGAAAGGGGTTTTGTGGTTGATAATAATGATAATAATTGTTTATTTTTCCGGGACTCGCCAGCCACCCTAAAAATTACGCAGAAACTTGACTTCGGCTAGATTAGCTGGAGGTTGTTGAAGTACCAAAGTGGTGTTAGAAGCAGAAACGTGGCAGTGTCTTTGCAAGCCTGGAGCAAACCTGGAAGATTTATCCATTAAAAAGATCGGCAGTCTTGACGGTCAAGAGTTTTAAAATCGGTGGCACTGGCAGCGGGTCGATAGCTAAATCAAACCAGCCTCTACTCGGTCTTTTAAGCCCCCTAATGCTTGCTGATTATTCGGCTGAATTCTTCTAACTGGTTGCAAAAAAGCAACACACACACACACACACACACACACCCAGGAAGAGTTTTCCCACAAACAGACCTGGATCCGAACTCGGGGCAGGAAGCAACGGGCTGCAACCGAGCTAGTTAAAAGGGCTGTTTTCCCTCTCTGTTTTAGGGGGGGGCAGTTTTTGCTCGTCTCCACTGCCCCCTTCCTAGCCTCGCTGCCCCCGGTGTGCCAGGCTCCTTGCGGGAAAGGCGGGTGTGTCCCGGAATATTTGTGACAATCTCCAGACATCGCAAAACTTGCCGTCGTCGCACAACTGTCCCTTGTTGCATTAACAGTCCCGTCTCGGCTCCGGCTGGAACAAAGTGGCCCCGTGTACCGTCCCTTGGCACCCCGGTGGGTCTGGTGCCAAGCCATCCTTTGGTTAATTTATGCCCACCCATGCTTCTCCTTCTCCTCTCTGCCCCCCCCCCAAGGAAACACAAAGCTGCCAGGCCCTGGAGTGCCAGCCCACCCACCCACCCCAGTGTCGTCCCTCCTCCGTCGGGGAAGATAACGGGAAAAGTTCGCCTGCCGGCCCCCGCTCTTAAGAGCCAACAGAGGGACGGCTGCCAACAATATCATTAGGGTCCTACGTGAGGATGCTGGGCGGGGGGGGCGCGTCCCAGGCGCTCCGGTGGAGCAGGGCATGAATATTCACGCGGAGCTCTGCCCGCTGCGGAAGACCCATCCATTACGGCCAGCTTGACGTCCCACCTTATCAAGGTGACTGCTGAGATAATGTCGGGAGAGCTTGCCAGGCCTGGGGGAGGGAGAGGGAGGGGGGAGACAGCGGGTGCCACCCGCCCTAGACACTCACAAAGGGGGATTGAGGGGGAGGGTTTCCCAAGAGTCTCCTGATGGGGTCCGCAAGGAAGGAGAGGTAGAAATGCAGCCCTCAAAAGACAGGTGGGGTTTTGGGGTGCCCGCTGTGCGGGTCCTGGGCAAAAGGGCACCTTGGCTCTGCAGGTCCTGGGTGACACGGGGTCTTCTGAAGCCCGACACGCTTTCCTTCCATTCTTGAGTTGGGTGTAGCTTGCAAAAAGTTACTAAAATTCGTCTCTTGTCTTGGCTGCCTCAACGGATGGGCCAGGATGCCACCTTTGCGTGTGACAGGGGGCAAAGGGGCCGTGGGTGGTCTGTGGGGGTGGGGGGCTATTCCCGATCCCCGTGCGCTTTTGGCTTGCAACATAGCTGCATGGCCAGCTGCCTGCACTCCTTGGCTTACGACCGCAACGGAGGCGTTTGTTAAGGGAGTTTTGCCCTGTTTTTCACACGGTCGGTAATTGAATCCGGCTTCTCCCCCCCCTTGACTTTGCTTGTCAGAAGGTCACAAAAGGGGACAGTGTGACACACACATGGGATGCTACAGCCATTATAAGTACATGTCAGTTGCCGAGCCTCTGAGGTTTGATCACGTGATCACAGAGAGGACACAGCGGTCATAAGGGTGAAAAACGGTCCTAGGTCACTGCCATTGTGACTTTCAAACGGTCACTAAATGAACTTGTTAAGTCGAGGACTATCTGTAAGGATGAAGCCGTGCCTGGACTTGCCCGATGTTTCATTCCCCCCCCCCACAGGGTGCAAAAAAACGAGCAATTTTCATGCATTTTGTGGGTTTATTGACAACTGAGGGAAGGAAGGAGATTCCAAGAAATATAATAATTTGGGGGGGTGAGAAGAGGGGCCCCTTTAAATTTTCAGGCAGCCCCAAAGCAGGAACTCGGTCCGAGGGGATCCCTAAGTAGCCTGGTTTAGCTTCTCCATCATCTGTTGCTGGATCTTCTTCGGCAGCTCTGGGTTGGTGAAATAGTCTGGAATACGAAATAGGGAGGGAAAGAAGCTTTAGACCAGCCCTGGTGTGTAGGCAGCCGCAGGCATTGGCGATCCCAGAGGAGCAAGAGAAGCAACGCAACTCGAACTCGGCTCCTGTTGATGCGACGGTGTCATCACTGGATGAGCTTCCAATGTGTCTTCTCCTCGCTGGAGGTTTTCCAGAAAGGATTGGACAGCCCCTTGTCCAGGATGGAACAAGCTCTCCTGTTTTGGGCCCGGGGGGGGGGGGGTTGGACTAGATGACCTCCCAGGTGCCTTCCATCCCTAGGATTCTATGAGGCCGTGTGTCCCCTTGATGACAAAGCTGGGATTTATTTAGCCTATTTAGTTTCTCTGCCTTGCTCCTATGCTTTCTCTCTGTGTGCCAGATCCCAGGTGTGCAAACCTCAGAGGGAAGCACTTTGTACATGGTCAGGGGACGGTGTCGCACACCTCTGGGGTTCTCTTTGCCTGCCCTAAGGACAGACACTATTCCCCTGCGGGGCTCTGTTCATCCTTCTCAGAAGCTAAATTTCTCCTGCAAGGCGGTGCTGATTTAGAAACACCCTTGCAAGGAACAATATTATTTATTGCTCCAGTTGGGGAGGGAAAGAAAGAAAGAAAGAAAGAGAGAGAGAGAGAGAGAGAGAAAGAAAGAAAGAAAGAAAGAGAGAGAGAGAGAGAGAGAGAGAGAGAGAAAGAAAGAAAGAAAGAAAGAAAGAAAGAAAGAAAGAAAGAAAGAAAGAAAGAAAGAAAGAAAGAAAGAAAGAAAAAGAAGGAAGGAAGGAATAGATGGGAAGAAACAGAAGAAAGGAAGGTTCAGTTTTAACCACATTGAAAATTTGAAGAAGGAAGGAGAAAGAAAGGAAAAGAAAAAAGAGAAGGAAGTTTAAAGTTTAAAAGAGCCATATCGCCATTAAAGATCGCGTTTCATGCAAAATCTTCAGAAGTTGAATTTAAGCAGCCATTGATTTTAGCCTGAACCATCAGCTAGTTATTATTCATTATTTGAAGCAGACTTGTGCCTCTTTTTGAAACCTTATTTAGTCTCTCTCTTTTTTTTTTTAAGCCACGCTTGCTTGGCACGCTCTCCGGGGATCCTTCCCGATGGAAGCATTAATCAGGGAGGGTCCAAAATAATCCACATTACAACAGCATCCTTGAAGCACAAGAACCGGGGTGGGCATTTGATCCCAGCAGAAGAGACGTCCTTGGGGCGAAGAGGGGAACATTGGAGGGGGGGGGCCGCGCAAAGCCGTCTAGCCAAAAAAAAAATAAAAAAAAAAAATTTGGAATTTTCCACCGTGCCAGTCCGAGCCCGGCCAATCGGCAGCCCAGGCCGGTGTGTTTTGCACACGCGTTGATTGGACACCGGCACTTCCAGATCTTCCAATGGGTGTTGTTCAAATAAATTTTAATTCTTTACCTGCCGCAAATTCTCGTATATTCTCCGGCCTTTTCATCAAGACATCTCTGGAAATCACAAAAGGGGGGGAGGACAGAAAATAGATTTTCAAAGACATTTTTTTTTACCCCCCTCTGAAGTTCCCACCTGCCGATCCGGACTCGGCCCTTGTCAAATTGGTAAATGACTCCCTTCCCTTATGGAGAATCGATAAGGCAATTAGCAACCCAGGAGAAACGTTTAATTTATATCTGCCCTGCCTGGGAAGAATAAGGGGTGGGTGGGGGCCGACGAACCTTTCGATGATTAAAAATAAAAAAATAAAAAAAAACCTCGACAAAAGCC